ACTGTCTTCATCCGAGGTTTCGTCATCAACCTTTTCAACAGATTCTGAATCATCGTCTCCTTCATTCATGTCTGATGTCTCAGCGTGGATATTTTCTATGTGCCTCTCTAGATTAGATTTCCATTTAAAGCATTTGTCACACTGGTGATAAGCATAGGGCTTGACTGCAGAAATAATTTTAACATTCATGTAGACCCTTGGAAGGATGATCTTTAAACAACACGAAACGAATGAAATCATTCAATGTATCATGTATATACATAAGTATGTATGTGTATTTCCCTGTCCATCGGCTCTTTTCCCATTCTACATTTGCTTTTTTATTTTTTTCCTCTTTTCACTGCTCATTTTGATCTTTACATTGCTCATTTCCTTTTTTAATTGCTCAATTTGCTCTTTTCATCGCTCATTTCCTCTTTTCATTAATCATTTTGCTCTTTTCATTGCTCATTTTACTCTTCGTTTTTCAGTTTTCTCCTTTCATTGCTTATTTGTTCTTTTCATTTCTCATTTTGCTCTTTTCGTTGCTCATGTTTCTCTCAGCTGAAATTCCAATTAAATTTGAAACTAATAGCAAAACGATTTAATGGGGTTTTCTGAAGAAAAAACTGATCAAAGTCGGAAAACCTTCAAGAAAAATGATCAGTGAAGTCGCACCCCTGTATATTTTCCATGGCCCGCTCACACTTCTTACCGCCAACGCCATTTGTGCGCAGGGGTGCATAATTATGAACTTATTAGTGAAGTGGTCTAGGCAGTGTCCGGTCCCTCAAAGCATTGTTGACAGATTTGTTAGGTATGATTACTTATTCAACTGTCAAGATACTTATTCATGGCTTCACACCCACACCCTGGCGTGGATATAAAGCGTGATGCAAACACTGTACAGTCGAAGAGACAGGGGTTACTATGATGGACTTTTACAATTCAACAAATCGTTAGTCTATCCGTTAAGGACTTCTAAAGGGGAAATATTCAAGAACACAGTTCTATCGAAAAACAATCCTTCCAAGCTACAGAGTTTTTCGTTCGACATAAAAAAGTATGTACATGCAGGCTAGTATTAGTTGATGTTAGCCGAATGGTTTCCAGAACTAACGCTGGCCGTCGAGCGAGTTGTTTTAAAATGTATATCTACAACGCTGTGTTCCCTTTCAAGAACCTTGAAATTCGGTTTCATTTGTAGCGGTCATGAAAGTGAATTTAAAACCGTTAATATGAGCCTCTTTCCAATAGTCTTTTATTTCAATTCAAATAATTAAGGGTTGGGAATAAATTACAAAATGTAACGGGTTAGGGGGGTCTGTTGAGTCAGAGAATGATGAGAACCTGGCGTATATACGCACCGTATACTTACGACTGTCTTGCCTGTTTGTAGTCTCAGTCACAATCAGCCGATGGGGGAGGACGGGGACGAACGAGGGAATAAAGGAACAACTTTGCTATAATTATGCGGGGTCGAAGGGTAGGGATGGGGAGGTTGAGGCAGTCCAGGCTCACCAGGAAGGTTTCACCATCAGAAGAAGAAGTAGTCAACTAATAAAAATGCGCAGGCGCAAGTATAAATAAGTGACAGACCACGAAGAGAATTACTCGAGGAAACCGTAGCGTCTGTATTCAAAACACAACTCAAAATTACCTCATTTATTTCTTCAATCACTTGAGTGCCTCTATCTCATTTACGTCAAACGAATTATTTACATATCCGTTCATCTCATTCGCTGGTCAAAATGGGTGATCGACTCAGGTTGCTGCAGCTAGCCTATATGCGTACCGTAATGGTGGTCAGCGGGATTAATTTTACTACGCCTGCTTCAGTAATTAGGCTAGACCGGCTGAATTGTGCAAACTAGCTGTTGGGCTGACCTCGAAAGTTTCTGACCAGTTTACTTCACGGCACTTCTCTGCCAACTTATTACAGTTATTTTCACGGCACTTCTTTGCCAACTTATTCTTCTCAGCTCTTGTAAGCAAATTAATCGTCACGGCACTTCCTTGCCGACTTCATACGCACCGCTGGTTAGCCTTGCACACACGGCACTTGCAAGCCGTTCCTTCTGCACGCGGGACTTGTTTGTAAGAATCGAACCACACGAATGCACGTGGCGGTTGCATTTAATAGATTTCTGGCAGCGTTGAGCGCACTACAATTGGATTGGCTATTATGTGCGCGGCTTATACGCAAATGAGTTACTCGCTCCGACCAGCTGTTTCCAGCATTCTACAAACAGTATTTGTTTAACGCACTTATCCTATTACTACACTGGAGCATGACTATGCCTGCATACACACACTTCTAACATTAGCCAGTTGCGTTAATATGTGAAACCGTTGTGGATAGAATCTGTAAAGAAACAACAACTCATAAGGAAATTAGTCAGCACTGAAAGATAGATACAAAAATTTCAAGGATTTCTACAATTATCTGGGATGTGTCCTGGAAAGTCAGTATAAGTGCTACCGCTGCCAAAATCTCTCAAGAATGTGTTTCTGTGAGAAGAGCAATTTCTACATCAAGACACTCGGACACCCTCGATATAAGTGACATTTTATTGATTGTACACAAATCATCGCTACCGATGGTTCGTGCACAAACCGGACTGAGCCAATAAGGAAACGGCGCCTATGGTTTGTGGACTGATAGAACGTAGCCAATCAGAGAGTTGCACACAATCATCTTCAGTCCCTGCCCATGCCGGCCTTCACGACGGAGGCTGATACCGTGCACGATAAGGGGCCGATGGGTATCTCGGACTATCTCCCCCCCCCCATGTCCAATCCTTATACACACTCTAGACTATTGTTACCTAACATATCCCCCCTAGAAGTCTGTAAAGAATTCATGAGATTCCGATAAAACAATGACCAACACAAAGGCGGGGGGCTCTCTCTGCCCCATATCTTGCATCATATGGATTACGTAATGCATAGAGGAAGGACACCCAAGGAGTTTGAACTGCCCGCGTATTTTTATGTACACCGTAGCCTAGGGTTTTTTCTCTGGTGGTGCCAATGCGCGCATGAAAAGAGACTAGTGCTAAGCACATACACGAGCGCATGGGATGTAACGTGGGGCGGAAACATGGCATAATTGTTAAGACAGTCCAAAGGGTTTCAATGCATTTCACTAAAAATTGCAAGACGTATAGCTTTAGGTGCTGCTAAATGTCATGTGAGAGCTCCGCTAGGAATCGTGGTAGGCCAACGCAATGCAAAACGTGAACAAACCAAACATAACTTCACGACCGAAATTACGGCTCAAAATGAGTAAAATTTTTATTGAGTCTTTCGACCGTTTCCTTCTTCCATGCTTCAAATGCATACAGGCAAAAACAGTGGCGCACAAAGGATTCGAACTTTTTATATCATTCTTTGCTGTGCTATACAGTGCACAGCTAGCAGTAATAAGTTTTGATATTGGGAGTCTTTTACCGTAGATATATATGACGCATTATTGACGCACTTTGCTGCAAAGCCATAACCAGCTGTCTGCTTGTTCGAGGTTCTGTAAGCTGAACATGCCTATAGGAAATGACGCAGACGAGGTTGCAATCAGGGCTTCAAGAACAACCTGAATACGTTTCAAGCAAAATATTTTGAAATATTGTTGTTGTTTTTTTAATGGAAACGAAACAAAAAATGAAAGAAGAGAGACGAATTCGAAAGGGCTGGAAATCTCAATCCGCTTGAAAACAACCTTCATAATGTTTGCCACATCGCACATGTACTTTATTCCCCTCCCCCGAAAAAAATAATAATGCTAAAAAACATTGCGTGAGCTTGGCTATATCCTAGCTCATCAAGCCAGCGATCACGGTGGTGATTAAAATTCTGCTTTTCACACACACCAAAGAAATAACTTGAAGAGGAATCGCCCCAATACTGTCACAGTCCGTCGGTCTATCACCTCTGAAGTATCAATTGTCGGAACTAAATACAGAGATTTTATTTGTTGCAGTACAGGCACCATCCTTTCGTGTTTTCGCGCGCTCGCTCTGACTGGTTTCAGTCAGCCTTAGTCTCTTTTCAAGCGCGATGAACCAGCACTACCTGAGCGAAAAACCCTAGGCTACGGTGTAAATAAAAAATACGCCGCCCGGGCTGTATGTAACATCTTGCCAATTACCGCTTTCTGTATGCCTGGTATGTCCATAGCCAGCCTAGAGCGCAGCGAACACTTGCTCCGCACCGTTTCCCAGCCACGAAAACCCCTTTGTACCTTTATATGATCGCGGCAGCAATTTGTCGCTGGTAATCTACATCTTTAAAACTCTGTGCGTGGCACTGAGTTAATAGGAAATTGAATATTCATACTTTGTTGGTGCTTGGTAATGATCTCATGAGTTGCTTGCATTACTACGCTGTGTGCCCTAAATCTATATGTGCAGTCATTGCCCTTAATGAGCGCTATAAATTTCTTCTGGAGTTATTTTGGAATAACTAGCCAGTTGTTTGCAAGATTATGTGTTTTGTTTAAATCTTTTTATTATGGCATTTGTACAAAAGCGAATTTTATGAGATTTTGCGATCACTCCCTGTGATGAAATAGCGCATTTTGTTACTTATGAACTTACTTTTCCAGTAAAAGTCTACATTATGTTGGTGAGTCATAGCCAAATCGTACCAACTATTCGAACACTGATGTATTGGACAGAGAATAAAATTATAAACTTTGCATGGATAATGGAACAGTGTATCAAAATCTAAAAAGTTTATTTACAGTAGCAAAAGTAGGTCTAATACTAAGTATCAGGGATTTTTCTTTCTCTCATTTCCCGGACACAGCAATAATTTGTATTTAACTGCAAGCAATTGCTAGGATATTACTGGCCCCGTTTGTGCGGCTTAGATGCAGGCAGTAATCAGGCATTTTTGAATGTTTGTATTATTCGCCTGACTCGGCGGCGACAGTCATTGATCACTTTGAAGTGCCTGAGTACAACTCCCTCTGTGCCCTTCCTCTATGATCAAACTAGTTTGATCAACGAATTTGTCTCTTGAGGGCGCTAGAGCACAACAGTATACATCAACATGGCGAACGTACTGTTGCAGTTTTCTTCCGGAAACAGCGTTTCTGACCCGAATTCCCGGTCTGTTTTAATACTTGGTCAGATACCGCACCTTAAATCAGTAGATTTTGGTGCCGTACGGACCAAGTTGGAGCCACGAGTGGATACAGAGGTATTTTTTCCGAGAGTGATTTTCGCCTCTGCAGTGCATAGGCCTACGCCATGTCCGTTGGGCATGGGCCCTGCATGCAGCGTGGTTCCGCCTCTCCAACAATGGCAACATTGAATATGTCCAAGCTCAATGGAGCGGCGGAACGACCAACTATATCAGTCACTTCGCCCATAGGCCGGGGCAGACATCTGGGACATTCGCTAAATGGCGGGTAGCAACCATCATAACCACCTGAATAACCACACCACTCCGGTGCAAACAGCTGACGTGCTCGTGCGTACATACATACTGATCAAAGAAAAGATTTAGTAGCCCGATCCTCTGACTTGCTGGTTTGTGCATGTCACCGTGGTGGCAGTTGTTTTCACCGGTGCAGTGTGGTTGCTATCTGCCATTTTGCGAAATAGGCAATTTGCCCACTTGCTACGTTGCCTATTTCCAACACTGGGGAAGAAGACCTCTCTTGTTTTCCCCTAAACTAGACCTAACATGTCATATAGCATGTATCATGTGTACAAGACCTATCCTTGAGCATACCAGAACTAGTCTGGGTGGTTTGTTGTCTGCACATATCAGGCATGTCAGAAGTCAAGTTAAGGAGGGAAAATATTGACCATGGCATTTTTAGGAGGTGGGAATGGGGGGTGTTTTACCTGTCACAGCCACACAGCATAGCGTATGTCACACGTCCTGTCAGTATCAATACACTCACTCATACAACATGGAAAACACTACATGTATATTCCATTCCTGCTTCCATATGGTCAAACCAAAATGCAGAATTACATGTAGCTGGGCCATTGGCCAAGGCTGCTGCTGTGTGTACTGTGTAATGCACACAACATTTCACGGTGCAGTGCAATGCTTCAACAAAAAAACGGGAGATCAGAGAATACAAACTCTGATTTTTCAAAAATGACGTGATACAGGCCTGTGGTCTAAAAACCATGTGTACATCATTTTCGAGAGCTATATTTATCTCATGATTTGCTCTTGTGAGAAAATTTGATTGAAAAAGCAGATGCATCCGATGATCATTCACCTTTAAGGCTCAATTTAAAAAACAGATAGTGTTCCTACCCAGTGTAAGTACCATAGGTGTGAAAATTCAGCTTTTTAGCTGATTTCAGCTTTGTTTTGTTTAGATGTTGACCCTGAATTTCATTTTTTTGTGCAGTCGGCAGGCTACATTCATGTAGAGCACCAGTATGTCTAGCTGCAAACTTGGAAGATATGATATTATTTTTAAGGGCCATTAATTGTGTGTATTCGACAACTTTTACTTAAAAATCGTTTGCACACGATGGGTGATACAAAGGACGACTGAATGCATGCAGAACACAGTTGTCTGCAGCTGTTCTGAAATATTCCATGATATACACTAGCATTGTTAATGTACTCACTGAAACCAGATAGAAGCAACTTGACTGTGTACAAGTATGTAATTCAGACCTGAACTCCACTGACTGTGTGACTGCTTCCAAAAATGCTCTGATCCCAGTGGTGAAATGCAAGAAACAGCAGCTCCTCTACTGACAGGTTGGATATTGAACAACTCAACTTTTCCAGTTGAATGCACAAGGGTCGAGGTGACTGACACCCCTTTCGTTCTGAAAACGACTTTGGCACTACTTAAATGGTGTGCTACCTAACGCAGTACTTTTTTAAAAGGGAGAAATCGAATCAAGTCAGCTTGTTTTCCCTCCCTCTTTCCTTCACAGACATTCAAGGCGGCCGTGGAGAGCCTTCATCCCTCACCAACTGATTCGGTCCCCCTCTGGGTCAACAATGCCTCCGTGGCTGCCCTGCCCTTAAAGGCAAGCCGACACAATGCACCCTCACGAGCCCACGCCCTCACCAAGCTGGTTAAAAGCTACCTGCCTGGTCTGAGCAAGGAGTGCATAGTGGTAGGTCAACAGAATAGATCTAGTAAAGAAAAAAATGGAATCGGTAATGACCGCAAAATCTCATCTTGTCCGTACAATTTTCTCCTCAAAATTCATTCCATTGGTAGTTGCATGTATGCGTGAGAGCTGTACTTTTCTAGATCAACCAGTCTGTTGAAACAAATCTTGATCACTGGAAATCAGTAAATATTGCTGCCTTTCTCACCCACAAGAGTCATTTTCAAAAAATTAAGACCACCTGGCATTTTATTGGTATTTCTGTCACTGGGCCTGCATTACATTGTCTCATTGAATGATTACTTGACATGTTTTTACAGAGGTTCATAACATCAGTGTAGTGCTGTATACCCTTTTGAATGAAGTTTTTTGCAAAGGCAGGTCTTGTATGACATTTTGTCTGTAAGGCAGCATGGGTGACAAAAAGCCAGTTTAAGTAATCAGAATTAAAGGAGGGCACATGAAATATTAGACTTTTAACATTTAAAATCATGGAAATACAGTTAAATAGCATTGAAAATAAACATAAGTTGCCATGATTGATTGGTTTAAGTTTGGTTTTTCTTCAGGTTAATGCATTTTGTGTGAGAGGTCCTAAACTTTTGCAAATGACTGTAATGCCCGCTATACTTGAGTTGTCAAGTAACAATTGAAATGAAGGACAGGTTTTGATAAAAGCTGAAACAAGTAACTATAATGAGGTTTAAAAGCTCATATTATGAGACCTGGTTACAAATGTGTATACCACAAACTTTGGCAATGCTTAATAGTAGAAGAAGGGTCATATTCACGGACCTTCAATCCTTTTCTTGCAAGGGCAAGTTGAGAGTAGGATCATTCCATGAGGTTGGAGCACAATTTGTGACGGTGTCCTTGTCACATGGATAACTTTTACCACCTGTCATGACCTGTAGAATTGGTCATTTACTCTGTAAAAATAACACACACCTCTGTATTCAGCCTTACAAGATGTGAAACAATGTCACTTTGGAATCCACATGCAGGGAAATAGCTGTTCATTTTTAAGGAATGTAATAATTGACGCCGTCACGAATTTGCCCCAACCTCATGGAATGACCCAGTAATTCCAAGACATACCAAAGATAGCAATTCCATTCTGCTGACAAGCATATCGATACTTTACTCTTGTAACTCACGATTGACCAATTCACCCAGTTTTCTTGGCCTTTTGTCGATTTCAAATCTGCTCGCATTCTGCCTTCAGGTGGTATGTGAACGTAGCAGTGCGTTTGCGTTGGCCTGCGCCGTCGCCCGAGCTTTCCCGCTGTTCTCGCGGAAGGCCGGCCACAAGTCAGCCGGGGCACGGGTGGTGACCGTGGAGTTCATCCTTGTCGGTGAGGACAGAGGCAAGGCTTTGACGGAGGAGGACATCAAGACAATGGCAGTGACTGCCGACGCCATCAGGCACACAGCACGCATTGTGGATACACCCTGCAATGAGATGAACACTGACCACTTTCTACAGGTCAGACATAAATCAACACCTGCCATGTCCTGGAATGTTGAACTTAAATGTATATTGACTTATTTGGGTAAAATGTCTCTATACTAGTATCTATAGAAGTTTCATCAAAATACTCTTACTTGTGAATTTTGCATGCAGATTTTTTTTTTTTTTTTTTTTTAGTGAATGATTTGTATTGTTTGTAAGCCGCATTTGAAACTAGGTCTCACAACTGGTCCTGTGTAGGATATTCTCAATTACTTACAACACAGCATTTTACAAAAAAAAAGAAGCTGTTTCATGACACCTGTTTTTGTGTTTGGTCTCAAAGGAGGTGCAGAGGGTCGGTGCCGAACTTGGGATCCAGCCGTTCATCGTACGAGGCGAGGAGCTGCAGAAGCGAGGTTTTGGAGGTGAGAACCTGGATGTGGAGGAGTGCCAATTTGATTCAAACCAGGGATGTGTACATATGTAAGCTACTCTGGATTGGTTGCTTTTGTGGGGTGTGACTCATCCCATTTGTGCACCATTTGGAGCGTGTATGGCACGAAGTACGCGCAACCAGTTCACATCCAGGTGTGGTTTAATCCAGGGCGTCTGTTTGTAGGTGCCATCGTATGCTCGGTGGCAGTGCCATTTAAATGACCGTCATATCTCTCTTTATCACCTGTGCACTTCCATCACCCAAGTTCCTCTCTGTGCAGCATTCACTGTGGCCTTGAAAAAAGCTGACCAGTAGAACTTTGTGACCTTGATCACCCTTCTCTCGTTGCTATGACAACTCTTGTTCATTGTTGCATTTAGGAGGGATTCCTTTTTGTTTCTTGCCCAAATTCTCCGGGGCTTTAGCGTCCGAGTGTCAGAATGCTGTGATTTAGTGTACACAGAGAGAGCAACCCATGCCCGAGTCAAGCGTCTGTGACTGGCATTAACAGACGTGTCTATTACATTTGTCTGAAACCATCGGCTACATTGGCTTCCATAGGTGCACATATCATTTCCAGCCGTAGCGGCAACTTTTGGATGCAGCCAGAACTTCATCAATTTCTGATAAAACTTGTCCGTCCCTGGGCGCCTACTTCAACTTTGTCCAGGTATCTACGGCGTAGGCAAGGCGGCAGCTAACCCTCCAGCCATGGCAGTGCTCAGCTACAGGCCAGACTCTGCAACTCAGACCATCGCTTGGGTCGGGAAGGGTATCGTCTACGACACGGGAGGCCTGTCCATCAAAGGCAAGGTGAGACTAAGCAGGTCTGTTACCTTTATGACCACTTGTCGAGGTTAACGGGCCTGTTTGTTTTCACGTGGAGCTGGATCTCGATCACTGATCTGTCGCTGGTTCACCGACACCGGAACCTGCCTAATGGATGGAGAGCACCAGCATTCAGATCATTGGGTGAGATCCAGATCCATGTGGAACAAATAGGCCAGTTATTCAAATGCACTGCAAATGCAGGTGCAGTATCATTCTCCGTCAACAATGTCGGCTTTTCAAACGGACAAGATACCAACCGGTTGCCAACCTGATCTGGTCATTTGCTCAAGGTTTTGTGAAATTTCTGAGCACATCGTCACATTTCCAAAACTCTGAGATTGTCAATTGAGGATGGACTTCCATGTGTGTGCGAGCATCTGTGTGCGCACACTCTATGGGAATCACTCAAGGGTAGGGACAAGTGTAGATGTCACATGGCGCTACGTACAGAATTCACCGCAACATATTTCAATGTCCTCTATGACACAGGAAATACCCTGCCTGTTTACTCGTCACCCAGCATAAAGTGATCACACAGACACACCCAGTTTACCCTGTATGGACAATTCAGTATTTCCCAATAGTGAAGAAACCTTGGAGAAAACACGCCTTTTCTTTCCACTACCAAGCTGGATTGTTGATCATGATTACCTTGACAGTAAGTCTACATATTTCCATGGATAACCCTGCCCCCCCCTCCCCGGCTGCACATCTTTGTCAATAGTCCCTTATTGATGAAGTGAATGATGCCTTTTTCACAGACAGCCATGCCGGGAATGAAACGCGACTGCGGGGGAGCAGCCGGGGTGCTGGGAGCATTTGCAGCTGCCGTTAAACTGGTATGTTGTTGTCCTTCCAAATTTTTTATCATCGTGTAGACTTTTATTGTGTGCTTGTCGTCCCTCTTTGCAGGACGGTAAAAAAATGGGAGATGGAAACGCAGGCTTTCCAACATAACAAGAGGGCTCACAAATATTTCTGAGCCGCAACAAAACAGCGACTGGTTTTCTCATCAAACAGAACAACTCCAGAACTTTACTACACTTGTGACACTTCAACCAAACCTACACTCTGGCAAGACCCTTCCCAGTTGCAGTGAATCAAAAAGAAACCCCACTCAAGTAGGCTCATTATAGAATGTCCAGAGTACATACTACTTGGGAAAAAGAACTTGGCCAGTGTGCCAAACAACTGGAAACCCTCCAACAACTGTAGGAAACAGCAAACGAGTTAACAAAATCAAAGTCAACTGTCCTGTTGAGCATGGGAATCACTTTTACTTTCAAAAGTCAGCGGCAAAAAGAAACCAGACATAAAGATTAGGTTGAACACAGATGTTAACTACAGTGTGTGTTTTGCTTGACCTAACCCGTCTTACAAATTAGACCTATTCGATTCCCCTGTATGGTTTGATTTGAAAGTGACCAATGGTTTTTTTGTCCCATTTTTCAATTGCCCCATTTCAATGCAAACTTTTGCTTTTGCTTAGAACATGGGTTTTGATTTGAGAGAATGTCTGAAGTCAGGCTTTTTGTGTTTCCTTTGCTGTTAGGGTTTCAAGGAGAATCTCCATGCCATTTTCTGCCTGGCTGAAAATTCAGTGGGACCTCTGGCCACACGCCCCGATGATGTTCATATCCTGTACTCTGGAAAGTAAGGATAAAAATATTCTCCTCATTCCTGTTTGGAATGTTAAGGTTCAGGTCTAAATGCTGTGAAGGATAAAGATTGACCTGATTGGAGCAGGATTTGAACCTCAAACCTTCAGACTAGCACTCCGGTGATCCAATAGCTGTTGAACCCCTTTCCAGGTCGGGGGTGTGATGGCTAGCTATGTGGTGCATTGAGTCTAGTTCCTGAGTATCACTCTCAACAAGGATATTGAGGTAAGGGGGGAACTGCCAACATAGGAGCTCAGCAAGTACAGCAACATTACGGTATTCCGGAGGTGACAAGTTCAAACCTCAGTCCAGTCAGTTTCTTGTTTCATCTTTATAATTACTCTGTGTGCAACTAGTCAGTGTCCTAATGGTTTACTTCACGTTGTGGACTATTGAGTATTTTTTAAATACTCAGTAAAATGGTATCAGGCTGTAAGTGGTACATTCATGTGAGAGTCCTGGGTAAGGCCTTGTCCGAATCACTTGGCTGTGGCTTGGAATTACACACTGCTGCATTGAAACTGGCTGCAATCACTACCATAGCCCGTGCGTAATTGTAAGCCGCAGTCACGTAATTTGGATAAGGCCTAACTCTGTCAGATTCTGCGATCTGTAGGAGTGTAGTTAAGGAGGATAGTGTAGGAATGAGGAAGGCCACAGAACCTAGTCATTATTGGGGTAGTGATGCCTGTGGGAAAGTCACAGTGCAAAGTGTGTGCTGTTGATTTTGTCTTCCTCTTTGATTTTTGAAGTATGATATACATTTCATTTGTCCTACTTTCTTCAGGTCAGTTGAAATCAACAACACTGATGCAGAAGGTCGTCTAGTCCTTGGCGATGGTGTGAGTCCAGAGTTCATTTTGATTATTTTTTTATTTTACCCTAAGCATTCTAAATCTAACAAAACTCTCCACAATCCAACAGTCAGCCTTCGTCTAGATTTGACGTGTTCAGTACTATACCATTAGTGAGGGCTTGTTAGTAAAAGTGACAGAAGAGTAAATTTTCAAAGATAACTAGTCCTACTCAAATCCATCAAAATCCCCCATTGGCTGTTGCCCCATTTCTGGTATGTTCGGTACTCTACCCGCAGCGAAGGCTTGTAATGCAATGTGGCCTAACAAGGATAGCGTGTAATTTTTCCGAACCTCGACATTGCAAGAACACTGCCCCTGCTTGGCACTCTGTTCATTGAGAACATCAGACTCTGTCATTCAGTTATCCAGAAATTCTGTGTTAGAGTTGTCTGAACTGTTTCATTTGATACTTGTAAGGATGTGTTAATGCCGAGTTTGTGGTCTTTGCACTTGTTGTTTTGTCGGTGGCACAGGTAGCCTACGCCGTGAAGGACCTGAAGGCTGATATTATACTGGACATGGCCACACTGACTGGTGCCCAGGGCATTTCCACTGGCAAATACCATGCTGGACTATTGACCAATAGCGAGGAGTGGGAGGAGGCCTGCGCTAAAGCTGGTCCGTTATTGGTCCATTTAAAAAACAGAAAGAACATTTCAGAATTCTATTACACTTAGTGCTGTCGGCAAACTTGTGTGGGATTCAAGCCCTTGAGAAAACTTGCTGGAATAAGCCTTTGTGAGTTAACTTTGACCCAAATCTGGTACACTGAGTTCATAAATTCACATGAACATAACAACTTGAATTCTCCTTACTAAAACCACTGTTGCTAAACATCGTGATTCGGGGCAAGCTTTTGCTTAGTTACATAAGAGACGCCTTGTAACAATACACTGTTCTTAATGGATAAGAAGGGCACAAAGGAACCAGTCCATTCCAGGGATGGTGGTCGCTATGCAAAAGCTTGCCCCAAATCACGAGGTATGGCAACAGTGTCTTTAGCCTGGGGAATTCAAATCGTTTGGTTTGTGTACAGTCAGATAATGCAGTGCACTAGATTTTATTCAAATTTAACTCGCAAATGGCTTATTGGTCAGGCAGAGCTCTTGAGTAGATCTGCCTGTACCCTACCTGCCGACCATTCCAATTTAATCAGAACTGTCCTGATTTTCAAGTTTTCAGATGGCAAAGAATTGAAAGGTTCCAATTGTTTGCACTACTGCAAAATAGAAGGCGCTCTTCACAAAAAAGGGGCACCGTTTGCAAAATAGAGGGCGCTATATGCAAAAAAGGGGCGCTGTTTGCTATGTCAAAATGGCAATTGTTTCACATACATGTATGTAAATAGCTTCTCTCGTGCGGCTGCTTGGTTTGCTATTAAAGGGCTTAGAAAATGGTTGTTCCCATTTTAGACTTTTCAATGTTGGCAAGTATGACATACACTTCAGATGATTGCATATGTGAAAACGCAGAATTTGTTGTCGAAAAAATCCCTTACTCAAACTTTAGTCACCGATCACAAATTCTGAGATCTCGAAATCAACTTAGACACCAGATTGACTGACCACTACTGTCCTCAAAGTTTGGACTTTTCTCTCTTTAAATTTCAATTTGGTCTCTTTGGGGTTGTTAAACAGGCAGGAGCAGCGGTGACTTGGTGTTCCCTCTTGTGTACTGTCCTGAGCTTCACTTCTGCGAATTTGGCAGTCCCGTCGCAGACATGAAAAATTCCGTCATGGTAAGAATCTTTTGATTTGATGACATTGTGAAAAACACTTTTATACTTGGGAAGATATCAAAGTTTGGATGCGTACATGTATACAAAGGTTTGGCCCCATGTATATGCTGGTCAGATGTGAATGAAAAGAAGTGAAGTTTTCAAATTTTGTCCGGTCAATTTTCTGGTCATTTTTAACCACTACGTGCCGGTACTGGAGACACTGGCTTTATATGCATGGCTGGGATGTCCGATATCGGACAAAAGGAACTGGGTCTTGTAACAAAAGACCAGACTCGGAACAAGAGACCGAGCTGCTGGGAATTGCCAAAAATTTTCAGCACAGAGTGCTGGCATTTTTAGAGGTAATCCATCATTGTTTGGAAACAATATACCACAGTTTTCAACATTCAGTGCCCCCGGATTATCAGCAGGGACAAAAGTGCTCCAGCACTTCAGCGTTGAGCGATACAGAACCGCTGCACGCTAATCTGGCTGCATTTGAAAAGACCCCACTGCCATTCAGCAACGCACTGGGCCAATTTCGGGAACAAAGGAAATTATGCAACACTGCACAATTTTGGGTTCTCTGTACTGAGCAGCAAGCCTGGCTGCAATAGCCAGGCATCAATGGAAGTTGCCTGTCAGATTAGAGTAACCACCAGACAGTCATTTGTGTAGGTGTTAGCATCCAGTAAATGAAGTTACGAATTTTTGAACAATTTTGAAAATGGAAAATCATGAAAAATCCCCCGGCAACTCGGCCCCCCATGTGCAAACTCCACCCGGCAGGAAGTGGTTAAAAACTTTTCCCAGTTTTGTTATTTCCTGTTTTTCAACAAGACCTCCTGGTGTTTGCTGTAATTTTGGCCACAACACTCATTTTGTTTGGTTTCTCTTCACTCTAAATCTGTGTGTTTGCCTCGGATTGCATATAAGATCAGGTTTGTTAAAAACTATGTTTTTGTCCCATAGGATAGAGGTAATGCACAGAGTTCTTGTGCTGGACTGTTCATAGGAGCTCACATTGGGTTTGATTACCCAGGTACCTGGATCCATCTTGACATAGCTTCTCCCTCGCATAGCGTAAGTTGGATATGGTGTCTTTTTACCATTGAATCCAAGAAATGGCATTCAGGCAGAATTGCTCCACCCTCGTCATGCAAACTCTTATTTTTGGGCAACTGTGAGAAAAATCTCCCCTCATTGTATGTGTACTATGGCAACACACACCCTCCCCCCCCGGCCTTCCAACTTTCAGAAAAGGTCCAACGTGGCTAGAGTAAAATTTCAGTTGTAGAAATGCATATTTTGGTGTGGGGTTTTAGTACAGTATACCTTTTCTGCACTTGGGCTGTGCCGAATAACCAAATATTCGATCGATTGTCAAATATTTGAAGATTATTTTTTAATTTGAATGTTTGAATGCAAAATTCCTGAAAAGGAAGGGAAAATTTCTTTTTGTTTTAAATGAGAAAATTGCACTATGGAGGCTTGTTTCGAGCAGATTCAAATGAAAAGCATCAAAAATCTTACGATTTAAAAGGTAAATTATTCATTAAACAATGTAAAAGGAATAGAAATTTTCAACAGGGCAAGAAGTCTTGTTCATCTCTTTAGTCTTGCTAAGTCGTGGCTGGAGATAGTCCTAGAGGCGAGAAGCTATTATATTGATCATAATGTACAATTATATGTGTTTATAATTCAACTGATTTTGTATATGGTTTGTTCATCAACAATCAGCCGAATATTCGGATATTTGATCAATTTGAAGGTCGAATATTCGAATAGGGAATTATTCGAATGGACTCAGCCCTATTATGCATGTGCACACTTTGGCAAGGACCTTTTGGGGATATATTTGTTTGAATATCTACAATGTTGTTGTGCGGTCTCTTGTGCATCCAGTGTTTTTTGGAGGGTTATTTTTGGTTTATTCCTCAGCCCAGCATTGTCTGAATTGATGGTACTATTTTCATAAGTTCAGTAAGTTTAGAAGTAATCCATTAAAAAGTCCAATACATGTATTTTGAATTTTTAGATTAGTCTCAATGTCTTACAGAGTTCTGTTAATGTTTTCAGTCATCAATGACACAAGGTCTGAAAACAACTCGAAGTTATAGAAATGATAACTTGAGAAATACCAAGCATATCAGCATTCAGTTTTTGAATCCTTCAGGGAGAGAGAGCAACGGGTTACGGTGTGGCTCTCTTGGTGGCGCTCTTCGGCCGCGCCTCCTTCTCACCCCTCCTGCAGTCCGTCTCGCCACTCGGAGAGCAGCTGTCCAATGAGGAGCAGCTTGTGGAGAACGCCAGTAAGAAGATACGGCTGGTGTAAAGGGGCAGAAACTGCACCTTCAGTAAATGCCTCATGAACAGAATTGCAAGTGGTACACATCCGAACCACTGCAGAGAAATTGATCTCACCTCGTGAGATGAGTCTCCCGTCTGTTTTCCACTAGTGTTTAGTATGCAGATGAAAACATTCTTAGTACCTCATTTGGATTTATCTTTATTAGCTTAGCATCCTTTTTACGTACAGTGAGTGAAAATATGACAAGTTCCTTGTGATTTCCATTGCACAAGATGGCTTCACAAGCGTGTAATTTAACAGTAGTTCTGGCAGTGTGTGACTGCCCTAGATGGTTTGAGTCATGATTTGAACGTAGTCATGATTCCAACAGACTATTTTTTTTCCTTCCAGCCTCTGTTTGGTTACATTGCTTTGAATGGTATAGAAGCAAGATGGCTGCCCTCTGATAGAGGTCCATAGATCCGGTTGCAGTTGCAGTTTTTTTGCCCACCGGTTGCTAGCAAAACCTACGGCTGGCCATCAGTTCATATAATATAAAAGAACAGTTCACAAACTGTTCAAAGAAATCTTGCACTGCTATTAAAATGCTGTGTGAATACCACTTTTGAATACTAAATGAAAATAACTCCCCCATTTGTTCAAATGGGACAAATGTGCCCTTCAGCTGTCTACAGCCAAGGATGAACTTTCTGTAATCTTTGGCAGCCAAAACAAAATGGTACGTAATTTCAGTGAACAAAAAAAAGGCAACTGCACCTGAGAAATCCACCAACCAGCAGCTGAAATTTATTTCCAATTAGCTCGTGTTAGAACCCAGTGGAGCCAAGAATTTTGGATTTAGTTCATTTGTTAAACTTTAGTGTCAATCTCTCATCAAAAGCATTGAACTCTCTTCATTAGATAGAACATAGTTTAGTATTTTTAAGGTTAATGAAGTTATTCAGTTTTCATTTTATATACCTTCCCTCCCCCCGTTCATGTAGTCTGCTACCGAGCTGCTCTTTATTTCTGTAATCATTTCTAGTTATAGAGATTCAGATCTTAAGTCGTTTTGATGTAAGAGATTTAAGTGTGCAAAATACATTGCTTTTGTACTCTCGTTGTTAGTTTGACGTTGACAAGTAATTGTCAACTGTAATTGTAATTCTAATAGGAAATACACGAAAGACTATTTTATTTCAAAAATTCCCCAGTAAATGACATCCTCGGTTGTAAACACACAGTTCACTATGATCGAGAACGAAGATAATGCCCAATACAAGTGACTTCTAATGACAGCAAAAGATAAACACTGCTGTTTTGAACAACTTTTTTATTAATATCTGACATGTACTTTTCTTTACACAAGATATGACGCAGTGATTTAAAATTCTATGTTACAAATTACTCTCAAGAAATGCCTGTAAATTAAGAGAAAATCTTAGACTTTTGTTGCTATAATTTTACTTGTTTCCCACCCATCTGTCATCATGTAATGCATTTAAGTATCCTCTTGCTGTATGACTCCAAGGGATTTTCTGGCCCAGTTATTTTAAAGACCTTACGCTCCATAGCATAACTTAGCTTCCCCTACCTAGTTTTACTACATAGCATACAGCCAACATTTAGACTTCCAAAGTACTGTTCAGCGTAGCAAAGTCCGTATTAAAAGTAGGATTGTGAGAGGCAAAAATGAAATTGCTTTGGATTTCAGTCGAGAAAATAATGCATTCCTCGGAAGTCTGGAGGTCACCTGTTCAAAGCTTTGAACTGTTTCAACAATTCCCACCCAGCAGGTGACAATTCTTTCAGAATTGCCAGATTCCTGAGACTTTCAGGAACACTTTTTCTCTCCTTGCCCCACCCTCTTGCAGAGTTTCCAAATTTTTTACGATCAGTTAAAGCAGAACTACTTGGATCGCGTTTCATGACAAGTGGAAAACCCCAAATTAAATACTGCGGCAGGGTCATGCAAACCACAGCTCCATGCACAAGCTTCAACCAGATCAGGTAAAAGTAATCATGCAAAATCTGCAAAAAGATATCAACATATCAAACATAAGAGTGAATGTACCCCCCTAAAAAAATTACAAGAGCAGTAAACATTGGCACTACAGATATGATGACTCTTGATCTTTTTGTCATCAACAATGAACCAGTATTTTGGATACATAAATAGCACAGTCCATTTCTGTACAAATAACACACCTCCTGAACAAAAGTGTCAAATTAGATTTACTTTTTAATTTTCAACATTGGGAAATTTCCAATGTTGTTCTTATTTTCTGAACAGCTGATAAAATTATGACACGCTACACTGTATTTTAAGAGTACAAAAAGAAGCTCTCTTCGGCCTGACAGTCGGCATTGTTGAAAAATAAACAATACTGAGACACTCGGCCGCACATAAAAGGAAAAAAGAAAGGTCCTTGAACCGCATTTTGGGCAAGCGCCATCTTCGTGATCTTCAGGCAACAGGCCAATCGTATGTCCTGCCCACAGGAACATGGGTAAGTTGATATGCACCTTTATAATGCTGAACTGCATCCCCCCCACATGCATCAAATACAAGTGCACTCGTGTCAGTCTGTCACTGGACATCTAATTAGGCACTTGCAGTCCTGATTGGTCAATATATCATGGGACGGGGTTTATTCCACCCTAACCCTCCTCAATCCCACAAAATCCTTGAGGTGGTTTTGGAGGACTGAAGCCACATAGCAAAAGTGACCGGCTGATTTTTGAAGGACGCACTGTGTCAAGGCGCTTGAGCCAGACCTTGTGTTGTGAATGCTTAGCCATGCATAAATTTAAGCCCGCACATATTTGAAATTCTCTGCACAGCTTCAGGATATCATTCGCACTGCCTCAACATGTCAACAAAAATTTCCAACGGATTTTCAAAGACCGAGGCAGTGGTCATCCCCAAGGAACACATTCAAGAGAAGGTGGAGGGCTCTAGAGGAGTGAAGCTGTGTCCAAGCTCCCACTGAGGCACCTGGAGGATTTTAAAGGACAGCAAATGCATCCTTGAAAAATGGGCCCGGGGGTCAGGGTTACTGCTGGGCCCAATTTCACGGCGCTGCTAAGCACATTATTCTCCACTATTACAGAATCTCCATGTATGTCAAGGAAACCATCGGCAGTAAGCACGGCAAGAGGCATGCTTACCTTGGAGGAAAAATGTGCTTAACCACTTCATGCCGGGGCATTTTTCAATGTTGATGATGCTGGGTCTTGTAAACAGAGCCCAGATTGTGCGTTGTTGTATAACTGTCTTTTGTTCACAAACCTGACTCAGTGCACTGCTGACCTCTTTTCAATAGGGGCCAGTTTAGCGTGTAGCGGTGCTGTGTGGCTCATGTGGTGGTGGAGCGCTTTTGTCCCTGGTGGTAATCCGCTCGCTCTCAATGCCCCAAACCCTGGTATATAGTTTCAAAAC